CCTGACACGGACGTCGGGAAAGGTCCGAGCAAGTCGAGGCCGATGCGGAAGAATGTTCCGGGGGAATGTCGATAGGTTGGAGCAGGCCAGCCGGACGGAGGAGCAGGACGTTTCCGACGCTGGCAGCGCTCGCAAGCAGCGACATAACGGCGCACAAATTTATACTGCCAGGCCAAAAGAACCGTTGCCGCACGCGGTGATAGGTGCGTGAAAAACCCAGGTGTCCGCCGTCGGTGCGTCATGCAGATGTTGAAGAATAGTGGCACGCATGTGTTGGGGAATAACTAACAAATATTCCGGGCCATCAGACTTCATGTTGCGACGATACAGAATGTCGTTGCGAAGGACATATTGACGGAGAGAAGGGTCGGAATGTCCTGAAGATACTCGCTGAATGACCTTCTTGAGGGTGCGTCCCGGCGCTGCTCTGTGCCGATGTCGTGCAAATCAGATATGGCGAGCACACAAGAATCGCCTTCATGGACAGCGAGGCTAGCAGGGTCCACCGGATAACGCGAGAGACAATCAGCATCTGGTGCACCTGCCCGACTTATAAATTACGTCGAAGTTATACTCCTGGAGGACGTAGAGCCCAGCGACCTAGGCGACCAGTTGGGTCCTGAGCGACGACAGCCAACACAGAGCGTGGTGGTCCGTAATAACTGAAAACTCGCGGCCATACAAGTAGGGGCGAAATTTCGCTACAGCCCAGACCAACGCAAGACACTCGCGCTCTGTTATCGAATAGTTTCGCTCAGATGTGGAGAGAAGGCGGCTGGCATACGCAATAACACGCGTTTGGCCTCCCTGGTGTTGAGCGAGGACGGCGCCGATTCCGTGAGCACTGGCGTCTGTGCGTACTTCAGTCGTCGCAGACGGGTCAAAGTGAGCCAGTATTGGTGGTGAAATGAGCAGGTCGATCAGCGTGGAAAACGCAGCTGCTTGGTCTGGCCCCACGAGAAGGGCACGTTCTTTTGAGAAGATCAGTTAGTGGTCGTGCAATTGTAGCGAAATCGCGTATAAAGCGGCGGAAGTACGAGCATAAGCCCACAAAACTCCGAACATCTTTGGTTGAAGAAGGCAGAGGGAAATTCTTGACAGCGCTAATCTTGTCAGGGTCAGGTCGGACGCCAGCAGCACTTACAAGATGACCAAGGATCGTGATTTGTTGTCGGCCGAAATTGCACTTTTTCGAGTTCAGCTGGAGTCCTGCTCGACGAAAAACGGCTAAAATGGTCGACAAACGAGTTAAGTGAGTTTCAAATGTTGGGGAAAAAACAATCACATCGTCGAGGGTAGCAAAGACAGATGGACCATTTATAACCACGAAGAAGAGAGTCCATCATGCGTTCGAACGTTGCCGGGGCGTTGCACAGCCCAAAAGGCATAACCTTGAACTGATAAAGGCCGTCCGGTGTGATGAAGGCAGTCTTTTCTCGGTCTAAGTCGTCGACAGAAATTTGCCAGTAGCCCGAACGCAGATCAATAGATGAGAAGTATCGCGCGCCATGAAGGCAATCAAGGGCGTCGTCGATTCGTGGCAGCGGATATACGTCTTTGCGGGTTATCTTGTTCAAGGCACGGTAGTCAACGCAAAATCTCCAGCTGCCATCCTTCTTTTTCACTAAACAACAGGTGACGCCCATGGACTTGAAGAGGCCTCTATGACTCCTTTGGAGAGCATTTTCTCGACTTCTCGTTGTATGACCTGGCGTTCGGACTGGGAAACACGATACGGTCGCCGTCTAACAGGATTAGCATCGCCGGTATGTATTTGATGACGCACGAAGGACGTTTGCCCTAAAGGGCGGTCATCGAAGTCGAAAATATCTCGGTAGGTAGTCAGAACGTGGTGAAGTTGCGCCAACTGACAGGGCAGAAGATCAGGGGCGATCATCATCGTGATTTCGTCGCTAGGTGCGTTTGCTCGGCTGGCTGCAGTAGGGGACGAACAGTCTTCAGGGTCCAATGCCACGATGCTACATGCATCAAGTGGGGAAACGTGGGCTAACGAAATGCCTTGCGGGAGAACTTGGGTCGAACTACTGAAGTTAAGGAGCGGAAGCTGAACGTAGTTGTCCACAATAGTCACGATTGTATGCGGCACAGCAACACTTCGAGCCAAGAGCACATCCACCAATGGAGACACTATGTAGTCACCGTCAGGAAGAGCTGGTGATATCGTTAAGGCAACACACGTGGTGGCTTGCGGTGACAGCCGAACATAATCAACAGCGCACAAGCGGTGTGACGGTGAGGACGGCACAGGTCCAAGTCGAGGCAGTTCAAGTTGAAGAACGCCGGTTGCACAGTCGATGAGAGCAGCATGGGTGGACAAGAATCTAAACCAAGAATTAGGTCATTTGGGCACTGCTCAATAACTGCAAAGAGAACAGATGTGGGGTGATCGGCGATAGTGATGCGTGCTGTGCACATTCCTGTGATGGCAAGACTTCTTCCGTCGGCGACCGAATAACGCAGGGGCAGCCGGTGTGAGCACTTTCTTCAGGCGGCGACGAAGTCGGGCACTCATCACAGAAATATGCGCCCCAGTGTCAACAAGTGCAGAAACAGTCAGGCCGTCAACGTCGACGTCGATCAAATTTCGTCGTGTCGGCAGTACAAGGAGAGGATTTGAGGTCGGTACCGAGGGGATGCAGCTTCACCTCCAAGAGCTGCACCGCTTAGTTTCCCTGGTGAGAATTGAGCGGGGAGGTCGGGCGTCGTCGTAGAGGAGAAGGGGACGACGGGCGACGTCCTGGCGGCGAACGAGACTGGTGACGTCGAGGCGACGGTGAGCGGCTGTGCTGCGTAGCAGGGGCATCGCAGGCGTAGGAATCGACGGGCAGAGGCCGGCGGTAGTTGTCGGCGATCGGCTCAGGAGGTTGGAAACGACGGTAGCTATCGGTGCGGCGAGCAGTGTTATACTGGTTCGGGATGAAGACCAATGGTTGTGGCAATACCGTGCGACGTGACCTATGCGGCGGCAGTTAAAGCAGATCGGCCGATCATCCGCAGTTCTCCATTCGGCCGGATTGCGAGAGCGTGGATAAGACCTTTCTTGGGGTGGTGACCTGGGGCGAGGCGGCGACCTTGAACGGAAGCCAATTGGTCGAGACTGAGCAACGGCGCAGACATCGAAGCCCAAATTGCTCAGTTCTTCCCGCACAATCGACTGTACCAAGCAAACCTGAGGTACTTGCAAATCGACGTGGCCGTTGGCGGGAAGAGTAGGTGTAATTGCTTCGATTTCCCGCCGGACAATTCGCGTAATTTCAGACGCTGGTGAAGACTGCCGATGGGAGGACAGTCCATCTTCGCAGGAGGACGTCGCTGCGGTGTTCGGCAGTCGAGTAAATGATCTTGAAATCCGCCTGCTTTTGGCCAGTTCAAAACGCCGGCATTCCTCAATAATTTCGTCGACGGTCGCACAGTTCCGGCACATTAGCAGGTTGAACGCGTCGTCCGCTATGCCCTTGAGGACGTGGCCAACCTTGTCAGACTCCGACATGTCGTTGTCAACTTTACGACATAGAGCCAGCACGTCCTGTATATATGAGATATACGGCTCTGTGGACGTCTGAGCACGTATAGACAACTCCTTCTTTGCAGCCGCCTTTCGACCGATGGGCTTCCCAAATAAGTCGCGAAGCTTTTCCTTGAAGGTGTCCCAACTGCCGATCTCCTCCTCATGGTTCTCGTACCAGACTTTGGCCGTGCCTTTCAGGTAAAACAGCACATTGGCCAGCATAAGAGTCGGATCATACCGGTTGAGAGCACTGGTGCGTTCGTAGTCGGCTATCCAGTCGTCGACATCAACTTGGTCCGTACCGCAGAACGTTCCAGGATGCTTCGGATGCGTCAGCACGTACGTGGGTGGGGGTGGGGCCAGTGGAGGCGTTGCCGTGGATGGTGCGGGCGTCGCCGAAGCCGATGGAGAGGTGGCCGTGGGATCAGTCCCGTGTTCCATCACGGAAACTCCGATTTGACGACCACTGCGGAGCTCCGTTGTATGGCGCTTCGTTACCCAGCACCTCCACCAATTTGTTACGGAGCTCGCAAACACACGGAAGAGAGGAATGAGCGTATTTCCTATATTTACATGCCAAAGTGACGCTTCAGAGCTGCCAGTCTCTCGCGCGGCGAGTCCACTTCTTTTTCATCGAACTGTTGTCCACGACGGTAGAGCCATGCCCACTGCCTCGTAATAATATATATATATATATCATGATGACTAAGAGCAGTGGAATCGGGGCTCTGGGCATGAGGAGCTAGCTGGAAGAAGCAGAAGAAGACGAAGTACCGAACAAGAACAGCTAGCTGGCCCAGGATGAGGTGTTGTTCCTTGTTCGTCTCGTTTATTCCGCCACAACGACGCAGTCCGACAAGTGAACCCTCTGCAGGAAGTCACCGGTACGCGTATTCATGGTTCGTCGGCAGCGCGGGGTTCTCCATCGAGGAACGCCGTTCACGCTTCCTTGGCGATAGGGTCCCACCCGACACTTCAGCTACGCTTCAGATCACCAGTGGACGGCGTCCAAGCCTCCCCTGGGGTTCTAGGGCATAACCTGATGAACACTCTGCCACCGTTTCACGGCAGGGATCCGTACCGGCTCCTGTTCTTTGGGAATGCCGCTCACGCTTCCCATGTCCTACATTCCCGTTGCGGTACTCTTTGAACATACGAGCCGCCACGGAACGCCGTCCAGGCTTCCCTGCTCATCAACCTCGCCGACGTGAGTGCTGCAACCGCTACTTATTCGAAGGCCGCGATCACTGACTCTTCAGGCTTCACACCCGAGAGCGCCGTGGACCTACGGCGTACCATTGCGCTACTCGGCGTCGAGACTAACGAACTGACAGCGTCGATCTCCGAGCAAGCTCCTACAATGTTGACAGCATTGTGTGCCTCTAATGCAGTGTTGGATGTAGCTGCCTCATAGGACGTTGAGGCAAGCCCACCGGAGCAACGTAGGAAACATTGGTCTTCTCTCATCCAGCTTTCACACCAGCTCATCCGCTTCGGGTCGGTGATCTCTGCGTTGCCAGCTGCCACCCCACCATCACCGGCCGTATGCGAACTACCGGAGTTCCACGGGTTCCAGAACAACGCCGACAGCTGCGTGGCAACCATGAACGCGCTAGCAGTGCATGAGGCTTGGACGGAGCCTCAGAAATGGTGCGTGGCCATTCACCGCCTTCGAGATGGTGCCGCGGCGTGGCACAAATATGAAGGCAGGCGGCAGCAGATCTGGACAGATTGGAGCTGCAAGCTCATAGCTGCTTTTGACCGTACTTCTAACCACCTCTCCGCCACCACACTGGCTAACCTGGCTGGTATGGAGGAGGAATCTCCAGAGGCTTTCCACCTCGAGGCTGCAGCTGTGCGCTACAGTGTACCATTTGAGCAGTTAGACACTTTGTCGATACCCGAAGCAAGTTCACTGCGGCCAAAGGCCGCTACCGAAGTCGGGCCTCGTGAAGCGTGTTGCACCAACGAAACAGCTGAAGAGAATCATCTGGACTGTGCTGCACTGCTTTTCACCGACGCACCCACTTACGCACACTGAGCTGAAGTGATGCAAGAGCTCGAATGTTTCTTGGAGCCCTCCAGCCCCACGACAGAAAGCTTCTCCGCCTATCCTACAAATTACATCAGACGCAGGTGCGACACTCCACTGCTGCTCTCATTAACCGTGCCGGTACAGGACGCCATTACGTCAGTGGAAGAGGCTGAGAGCAGTCCTCATACAGCTCAGTTAGAGAAGCCAGCCCCACTATCACCTTTACTGAGGCAAGTGGAGACACCGGCATCGCCTATGCTTGAACCGCCTACATTCATGGCGCTGGTAAAGACCAAGACAACCACTGCTGGTCTCACTGACCAAGATCATGAGGAGAAAGTTGACGCTCAAGATTCAGACACCAGCCAATACGATGACTGCTTTACAGAAAGTCCTGCCGCAGATGCCAAGACCGGCCGTGAATTATGCTCTCTGCCACACATCACAGAACTTGCGTACCACCTCTCGACACTAGAAAAGGCACTTTTCGCGTCTTTTGGGATACGCTTTCGGCAACCTTCGTCCAGCGTTTGACGTTTTCCGATCATTTCACGGCCCGTCCGAAGCACGCTGTCAGTTGCATGTTTAGCTGCTACCCACAGAGATTCTCTGCATGGCCGAGACCAACCACACCCTTGCAGCCAGTCCTGATCTCCCGATAGACTTCTGGCAGACTCCGGCACCCTGTTTCAGCCTGGCCGAGACCGAACTCCGAGATTCAGCCAGTATTGACTCCCAGGTCTACTTCTGGCAAATACCCAGACCAAATCGCAGCATGGCCGAGAGCGTCGGCCTCAACGTGGCAGCCAGTGCCGGCCGCCTGAGTCCACCACACTTTTTCAAGAGACATCGCGGCATGCAAAACAGCGAACAGCTCGAGGCAGCCTGTGCTGTCCACCGGAGACGGGGCTCTGGGGAGCGCGGACCTAGCTGGCAGAAGCAGAGGAAGACGAAGCACAGAAATAACAGCTTGTCCGACGAACGGGTTCTGTTGTGTCTTTCTTGCTCTTACAATATATATATATAATATATATGATATATATATATATAATATATTATATTTATATCATATATATATATATATATAGTGGGAGTAATAATTCAATGGGCCAGTTAGTCTTCGTGAAGGTATGGGATATGGCACAACGGGAGCGTTGTCAACAAGGATAAATATAGTTATTTCCCAACAGTTTCGGGAGGGGTCCTCCCTTCATCAGGAGATGAGTTATCAGGAGATGAGTTATAACTCATCTCCTGATGAAGGGAGGACCCCTCTCGAAACTGTGGGAGATAAATATATTTATCCTGTTGACAACGCTCCGTTGTGCCATATCCGACATATATATATATATATATATATATATATATATATAACATATGTATATATAGATATTATATATATTGTAAGGAGTAAGAAAGACACAACAGAACCCGTTCGTCGGACAAGCTGTTATAGTCTGTATATATATATATATATATATATATATATATATATATATAATGTAAGGCACGGCAGCATGGCTGGGACGCGTCTCGCTAATCCGTTCATCTATTTCGTGCAGCTTGCCCCGCCGCAGTGGTCTAGTGGCTAAGGTACTCGGCTGCTGACCCACAGGTCGCGGGTTCAAATCCCGGCTGCGGCGGCTGCATTTCCGATGGAGGCGGAAATGTCGAGGCCCGTGTGCTCAGATTTGAGTGCACGTTAAAGAACCCCAGGTCCGAAGCCCTCCACTACGGCGTCTCTCATAATCATATGGTGGTTTTGGGACGTTAAACCCCACAAATCAATCAATCAATTTCGTGCAGCTTTTTGCGGCACTGTTGACTTCGTTAGCGGTGCACAATGGACCATGTGCTCGGACACATGCCGCCTCGACCAAGCTAATCGACGGCATCGACTGGCATAAGGCGAAGGCGCCATTCAACCCGGTGATCTGGACGCTACCGCACATGCGCTTGTCGTCTCCGATTACTTCAGGGAACGACCATGGCGCCACCACGATAACGCAATGGACCCACAAGGCTATAAACATGCCGCACGACCCTCGAACAGCTCATGGGCACGGCAACATGGCTGGGATGCGTCTCGCTAATCCGTTCATCTATCTCGTGCAGGTGAGGAAAAATTATGGCAAGTGCTTCCGAACCAGCAACCCTTACATAGTTGTGCTGCCGTGCCCATGGCTGATTTGTTCTATGTTTTGTGATTTGGGATCGTTTCTTGTGAAATTATTGCTTCTTGCTGGTGACGTAGAGACTAACCCTGGACCTGATATGACGCAATTTTCCAAACAGCTCCAGCAGATAGCAAACGATGTTAAAGAAATGAAAGAGGTAACATTGGCATCCATTGACAAAAAGTTGGAAAGCCTACCCGCTCTTGAAAATGAGGTATCATTGTGCATGAGGGAAATCACATCATTAAGAAATCTCGTATCTGCACTAGAGATGAAAATAGACGATTTAAAAAATCGGTCTAGAAGAAATAACCTCATTATACATGGTATCCCCGAAGAAAAAAATGAAGACCCGAGTTCGCTCGATACCATTGTTAACGGGAAAATAATAAGTGACATCCTAAAAACAGAACCTGTCACTATAGAAAAAATTCATAGATTAGGCAAACCAGCTACAAAGAAGGTTAGACCAGTTATACTCAAGCTTCTTGATCACAGAGACAAAAACAGAGTGCTTAAAAAATCCTTCAAATTAAAAGGCTCTAGCTTTGCCATTAGCGAAGACTTCTCAAGTCGAGTTCGTGATGTAAGAAGGAAATTATGGAACTGTGCAAACAAATTCAAACATGCGGGAGATAAAGTCATAATGAACTACGACAAACTGCGCATAAACGGAGAACTGTTTATTTGGGACAGCGAAAAAGATGACATCGCTCCTGCGGTATCTAGCTATAATGCCGATGATCGGCCAAAAGTCAGACAAGACGATGCACGGACATTGCGCCCGCGCCGCCAAAATACGAATCAGAAATAACATTTTTAAACATCAATGCGCGTAGCATTTTAAACAAAATAGACTGCCTGGAAGATCTGCTCATTTCGCTAGAACCAGAATTCGTAGGTATCACTGAATCATGGCCATCCCCTGATATCCTAGATGTGGAAGTAACTCCTCCAAATTACGCGATTCTACGCAAGGATAGAGAGACACGTGGGGGTGGAGTTGCGTTACTAATAAGCAAAAAATTAAATTTTAAGCCACTACCTCATGTTGAAGGAGTAGAGGCAATATTATGCAAGCTTTTACTCAGCTGCTATTCAACAATTGTCGGTTGTGTTTATCGAAGTCCCGCTGCTGACACTGACACCATGCTTTTGTTGTACAAATACATGCATAATCACCTTCAACAGGGCCGAGTAATCCTTCTCGGGGACTTCAATCTACCTGATATCAACTGGTTAACAATGGCGCATCATTGCGCCCATTCAGATGTTGTTTTAGATATTATGTTAGACTTCAACTTACACCAAGCACTTAATACGCCTACTTGCAATCATGGGTTTGGTGGGAACATACTAGATCTGATTTTCTTGAGCAGCCACTTTTCCTTGGAAGAAATAAAAATAGAGGTAACAGACGGAATATCGGACCACAAGATGGTGATGTGTAGTATACCAGTCAACAACAAAGGCTCCAAATCGGTGCCTAAATCCTTTCCCGACTTTCACAATGCTGACGATACTAGCATTATTGACCACCTTTCACACGAACTATCATCCTTCACCGAAATTCCTTGCCAGGCTTCAACTGATATTGAAATATTATGGCATACGTTCAAAGATATTGTCTCACATTGCATTCAAAAGTTCGTACCCTTAAAAGCAAAAAAGATAAAGAAACATAACCCATGGATCACGCGTGACATCATTCACGCAAAACGAAAAGTGAAGCGACTAAGAGAATCACTTAAGAAAAAGTTTACTACGTCAACAAAAAACAATCTTGACGATGCCATAATTAGGCTAAAAGTAATTTTAAAGGCCGCAAGAGAAAATTTCTTTAGTCACAAACTGAATAACTTCATAAAAACATCACCTACAAAATTCTGGAAGTACCTCAACCCCAAGTCATCCGATGAAAAAACAGCTTCCCCCAGCGAAAGCCTAGCTACTGCGAACGCTCTTAATAATTATTTTCAATCAGTCTTCACACGCGATGATAGCAGTACACCTCATATGGAGGCATGTGCTAAGAGACATATAGAAGCTACTACAATCACTGAGTCAGGCATCCTTAATATTTTGCCTAATTTAGATGCCAAGAAAGGCTCTGGGCCTGATAATATTCCCAACACATTTCTGAAGAAGTACGCAGAATGGGTCGCAAAGTATTTATGTTTATACTTTGACAAATCGCTAACAACTGGTAGGCTTTCAAAAGAATGGAAGACCGCTCGAATCACTCCTGTACGCAAATCCGGAAACAGGCATGACCCAGCTAATTTCAGGCATATCTCTATAACATGCGCAGCATCTAAAATACTTGAACACGTTATTCTCAAACACATAACATCGTTCCTTGACGCTGAGTCTATCCTAACGCCCTTCCAACATGGCTTTCGCCGTGGATTGTCTACGGTGACACAACTTCTGGAACTTGTTCACGACCTGTCCCTGGGCATCGATTCCAGAAAACAAATTGACCTTATACTACTAGATTTTTCAAAGGCCTTCGACCGAGTGACTCATCGGAAACTAATTTATAAGCTTAAGTTGACGCTAGGTAACGGCTCCATAATTAATGGGATAACTGATTATTTAAGACATCGTTTACAGTTTGTTGAAATTGACGGCCAGTCGTCTGATACTGCCCAAGTGATATCCGGTGTACCACAGGGTTGTGTTTTGGCTCCGGTTCTTTTTCTAATATTCATCAACGACCTACCCGCTAATATACATGTCAACATCAGACTGTTCGCAGATGACTGCATTATCTATAATATAATCAACACGCATGAAGATCATGTAGCCCTTGACCGCGCTTTACAA